CTAGACCTGCTCTATTTGAAAAGTGGTCCTGAGATAACTTCTGTTATGAATTGGCGCTATACAAATAAAATTGAATTGAATTGAATTGAATTACAATAATCCTTAAAATATGTGCATTGTACCTGCTCTTGTGCCCGGCTGAGCATGCAGATAGCACTGACATCATAGGGGTTCTCAGCCAATCGCCTCTGAGCCTTGATTCTCTCAGTTACAGCCTGAGTGATATCTACTGGCTGCAGAACGAGAAAGAGAGAGAGGTGAAAAATAGTATTGAGAGGAGAGAAAGAGGGATAGGGGGAAAGATTTTAAACTTAACCTAAGACGAAAGGCAAAAAGTAAAAAAGACTTTTGAAGTATAGACCTAACAAACATATATGCCAAATCTGAAGTGATTCAGATGAATGATTACTTTTTCATAAAAGCATGAAACTCACACAGTTGGGAGGCCTGAACATTTTCAGAAATGGAGCTATTGGTCATTCTTACTTTTTCTACTTTCCATCGTAACTGAATTATGTATTTCGCATCACCTGAAAGTATTTACTATCTCCTGAATAAAACATAATACAACGAACAGATTGTCTACCCCTACGTTTTCATGGTCAAAGATTACAAAGATACCATATACATCATAAACTAGTGAATAATTAATGGTGAGTGGTCTTGCAGAAAGTTATTAAACCAATATCAAAGAGGCTTGTCTGAAGTGGAATGGATTGGTACATTGGTCAAGTCTATGTCAGTGATGCAGACTGCTGTGAGAGTTAAAATATGTGCCAAATCAGGAAGTAGGTTGCTAGCTTGAAAGCTTGTTGTTGTTTCACATAGCGTCAGGGACTCTGGAAATGCTAACACGCAAATGGCCGAAAGGGGAATGGAATCCTGACTGATAAAGTCAGCCAATGGCAGGCTTATACGGACACCCTATTTCCTGTGAACGTAAGACTAATATGACCATAACAGTCTCCTCTACATTGACACAAAGCTGTAAACTTAAAGAAGACTTTTTTGCATTTGCAGTATTTCTCGCAGCCTTTCTTACAGGGACGGACTGGCTTGCCTGTGGAAGAGTTGACCACAAGGGTCTCCAATCACTTGAGTGCATCCAACCCAAGTCTATTGGAGATGGCATACGTTTTTGCAATGATTCGGCGTTTGAAAATGTTCAGGGCTCCAAACTATACATGTGTACAGAGTTTTACACTGTTATTATTTTACATATCACCTGGACTATAAAGCCATGCATGATAATCATTTTCAGGGATTTTAATCATATTCCCCATTAAATACATCCATAGATATACCATATATATATAGCATACACTACTGTACATACACACAACTCCAAATCTATTGGTTTGCAGTAAAACCAAGGCATTCCTCTTGACAAAAGATTTTTACTAACAACTCAATAGAAAATAGACACATACTTCTCCAGTTCTCACCTGCAGTAGTGGGTCAGGAAAAACTCTGTCATTATCTCCCCCAAATGCAGGCTGTTCGGCAACGTCTGATAAACGTGCTGCTGTCGCCGTTTCACCTGATGCTAAGGTGGCTGTTGCTATGGGAATACTGGTCAGGGCCTTTCTGGATGCAGCTGCAGCTTTGTCTGCTGTTTTGTCAACTGGAACCCATTCTCCATAGGCACCCAGTGACTCACCTTCCTGAACAGTACAACACATTACATTACTCACATTAATTCAAGTATTTTAAATAGGAACTTTGAGAAAGCAGTCTTCAGAATCAGAATCAGAAATACTTTATTGAAATTTGTTAATTTGTAATTATTATGGAAATTTGTATTTCTTTAGCTGTTGTACTTTCTAGTTTAATCTCTTTTCCAGCAACTTTATGTAATATAATGGGTCTTCGTAGTATTGAAACATTGCTAAAGGAGAACATTTTCTGCCTTGCCTGTTCATCAGTAAAATATTTCCGAAACTTTTTGAGTTGGAATAGCAGACTGGACAGTGCCCTCCAAAGTCAGTCAAGGGTCAAGTTAACTCCCAAGTTATCCATTCTTGCCTCTAGCCGAACATTCAACACATACAACTAGGCCAGACAAAGGCCAGTTTGACAACAGTGAGGAAGTTACGTAGTTAGCGGGTGCAGCTAACGTTAGCTGACTTAGCCCCAGGGCCAAACCCGGCAAAAATCGTCGTCAAACCGCCCTCCATCGGCATTGGACGATGCCTTCAGTCTTGCCGTGCTGTTCACTGGTAGCTACCTGTCCCAGCAGAGTCAGCTAATGGGTCAGCAACAGCTGCTTGACCAGGGGGACTTGCACACAGTGCTATTGGCTACTGTGACAAGTCTTACACTAGCCACAACCAAAAGTACCATCAATTGCAAATAGGTTGTAGGATTTGGATCAAATTGACCAGCATGTATATCCACAAGCATTTATAACAATAATAATAATAATAATAATAATAATAATAATAATATTTATTCCAGCATCCTTTGCACTCCACCATTGCACTATTGTCTTAATGTCTGTCTGTAATATATGACGATCAACCATAACATGATATCGACATGACTCTTGATACCTTCTATACCTACGGTATTGTAGAAAAAGGGCAAGTTTTCAGAATTTTGGTATCGACTAACGTAGTATTGGTTCTCTTGACAACCCATATATATATAATTTATAATATCTATATATGTGGATGCATACATATATATATATTATTTTAATTATCTGTAATCTTTCTCGTCATCATTGTCATCATAATCACCATCACCATTAGTCATATTTCTACAATTATAGTTGTTATTGTTACTACTGTGTTACTATTGCTCCTGTCTTTCTCACTACACCCATATGTGGAATAATTTATGGCGTGTAGCTCTCAATTATCTGAAATAATAAAATTTCAGTACATGTATGCACATGCTGCCAAGGCAACGATTTCTTTGAGAAGTTTTTTAGTCTGTTGTTATTATTCCTTTGGTTACCTCTAGTGAACACTTATAGTAATGCCCTGTAATTTACTGCCACAGATGGAAAGAGGTTAATTGTAGACGGCATGGTAGTAGGTTTGCTGTACTTCAGCTTGAAGTATCTCGTAGAATCAAAACCTAAAATTTCAGAAATGGTACAATGCACATCCATGCAGACCTTCTTACGATGTTGGGACCCTGAAGACACAGGAAACTCCTTGGCCATGCCTGCATCACTACGCAATGCTGGACGTACTGTCGTGTTCTGGAGGGAAAAAGAAGATTAGACTTCTTAAAGTACTTAAAGGTCCAGTGTGTAACATTGAGGAGGACCTATTGGCTGAACTGGAATATAATATTCATAGGTATGTTTTCACTAGCATATAATGACCTGAAAATAATGACCTTAGAATAAGCCGTTTTAATCTACAAAGGGAGGTCCTCTTCTACAGAGTCCCCCATGTTGAATTGTTATGTATCTACAGTAGCCCATAATGGAGAAACCAAATACTGGCTCTAGATAGGGCATTTTGTGAGTTTTGTGGCTACGGTAGTTTCTCCTACATGCTTGGAACAGCAGGGTGAGACAGGGGCATTGCAACAAGCAACTACAACGCTAGATGCCAATAAATCCTACACACTAGACCTTTGACTTACATTTAAGTTATTTACCCATTTAACCCTGAAGAAGAATGGTAGGTGTGCATTAAAATAATATGTCAGGACAGATACACTAAATAGTGGTGCATGATATATTACACTGCAGGAAATCATAGCAAAATGTAATGTAAGTTAATTATGGAGGAAACTGTCATTCATAAGTATATGTAAACTTATATAAGATGCAATGTAGCCTGTGTGTGGATTTTACATTGATGCTGAAGCTGATGGCTTTTTGTTCTCGAAGAGCTGATCCTCCAAAGGGTTTCCCATCATCTTCTTCGTCTGAAACATGAGGCATTGCCACCGGTAGCTCTCCTTTACTGTCCACAATCATCTTGCACTTCTACAAACAAAGCAAACACAGGCAAGCAAATTAAGAACTGTCTTCAAGCAACATTGATTTACCACACTACAGTTTGGAACCTCCGCATGGTTGCTATATGCTTTGTTGACTGCTTGTGCTGTGTAGCATTTCACACTGCACTATTGTGGGGTGCGGTCTGAAACAGAACAGACTTGCTTTACTATTGTAGTTTTACAGAAAACAGTTAAAAAACAATTAAAGCTGCAAGCAGCGATGAACGGGCCCTTGCACTCCACTCCACGCAACTCGGGGCGTGCTGCGGCCGCGTCACGTGCAGGCGTTACACGTGCGGACCAAAACATGAAAATTTCACGTAAATCAGATCAAAGTTGCCATGCAGCGCTTACTTCCTGTTGCCAGTAGGTGGCGCTATCACTATATCTGAATATTGTCATGTAGACGTGTTCACGGCGGGACTCTTATCAAACGTGTGAAGTTTCATTGAGATTGGACCATGTACACTGAGGTTGTGAGGACGTGTTCAGGGTACTGAAGATGAGTACTATCTGTTTTATGGCCAATCGGCGGAATTCGACACGTCGTCACGGGCACGCGGTTAAACGTACAGTCACAAATAGCACAACTTTTGATCACCAATGTGTCTAATTTGCCATGATGAATTGAAGTCAATCTGATAAAATCTGTAGGAGGAGTTAGTTAAAACAGAAGCCCTTAAATGCCGGAAATGGCATCACAGTTGAGATTCGATTCAACCTGCCAACTTTGACGGCACGCCACGGACACGCCCTTTAATGTACATGCACAAATAGCACAACTTTTAATCAGCACCATTTTTGACTGTACTGACCAATTTTGAAGCAGATCTGATAAATTCCCTAGGAGGAGTTCGTTCAAATACAAGGCGAAAAATTCACCGAAAATGAGCAAGAATTCAAAATGGCCGAACTTTGACGGCACGCCACGGACACGCCCTTCAACGTACATGCACAAATTAGCACAACTTTTACACGAAAAATGTACAAGGAAGTCCTCAATTTATAGTGTGCGCTTATTTTTTGAAATATCAACATTCTTGAATGACTTTTTTGCCAGACGGTTCCCAGATGTAACGTGAAAATTTCGTGGAAATCTGACAAACAAGTGTATAGGAAGTACACAGCTAAAAGTGTTTTCTTAGATACATTTACGTGTCTCTTGGCGCGAAAAAAAAATCTAGGGCGGAAGTGGGCGTGGCCTATATCGGGAGTTTTCAGCTCCATTCAGCGGAACGCGGTGGAATATAAGGGTTTTTGGAATGTGCGAACTCATGGCAGAAGTTATAAGCCTAAACAGACCTTTTTCATGATAGTAGCGCCACCTAGTGGCAAACCCGAAAATTGACACATTGAATTTCCCATTTTCACCAGGCTGACAACTTTGCCAAATAAAATTGAGTTTTCGTATATGTTCAGGGGGGCAAAAATGCAGTCGAAGGGGGCAAAAAATAATAGGTAAGAAGAAATCGAGCAAAAACAATAGGGACCTCCAGCGGTCGCTGGCTCGGTCCCTAAAAATTAAATGACATGTTTTCTAGATTTGAGATGAAAATCTACAGTGAATAAAATAGTATTTAGTACTAAATCACTTGCTTCTTTCCTCAGTGTCTATATCTAATGGGGCGTCACACGTAGAGGAAGATAAGGATGAAGATGAGCAGGGGGAGAAGTTTGAGTTTGATGATGGGAATGACATCGGACCCCCAGAGATGAGTGACTTGACCACAGACACAGCTGTGTCAAACCTTCACACCAAAACTAACACAGCAAGGCAGGGTATTAATGGAACAACCAGTACAGGACCGAAGGGCCAATACTGCTCAGGTGAGGTAGCATGTATATAATAGGTATTGATGTATTAACATTAGGCTCTGTATGCTTGTTGATTGATTTATAATGTTCTTTTTTTCAGATATGGAGCTCAGGGAGTCACCAGAGGGGTAAGTTTTGATGGATAAATGAGCCTGTAACACATTCTAAAGAAAATGATGACACTTAAATCTGTAAACCAAGCATAAACAAACTAAAATCTGGTCTGTCAGCGAAGTCACAAAGCACACTACAGTGTGGATGAATTAGGTGACATTAATGACTCATGTTTTGGGTTGTCCGGCACCAGATAACTTTATTAAGTGTGGCTCGGTTGCAACTGGCTAGCTAACCTTAATTGGCTTGCTCAGTAATGTTATCACGAGCAAAATACTATTTAAATGGATATGTTAGTTGACTAACGTCAGCTAGCCAAATTACTTCACCAGCTAAGGTGATCCATGATACTAACTTGTGTTGTTATGACGAATGGTGTTGATTTTAGCCAACAATAAATGATAACAATCTCTAGCTTGCTCTTCACTTGTTTACTGTGATGTACTCCAAATTGGTCTATAGTGGATATTACCATGTAGGTCTGTCAGTTTTCTCAGCCCAATTTCTCCATACCAGTTAAACACAAGAGGAAGAACCCTAGGTTAGATATTCTCCAGTTTTTACAATGCAATAAACACATATGTATTTACACACAGTAAAAGTAAAACTTAATCTCACTTTATACATCCTGTCATGTGATAGGACTGCACGCAACATGTGCCAGGTCCCTTTTTTTTATTGTCACCAGTCTCTGATTGATCCCACTGTATATGTGGGATTTTCACTGGACTGTTATTATTATTATTAAACGTAAGGTTTCAGCTTGTATATCCCTGTGGAAATAGTAGTTTGACTAAATAAACAAACAAAAAACATATTTACTTAGGGTCTATTTGCTAGCTTTATTCAAGGGGCCTCATTTATAAAATGGGAGATCAATTTTGATCTTAAGTGTGACGCAGTAAAACCCTGTATTAGTTATTATTTATAATAAAATATGTGGAAGTGGAAATTCAATTATTTCTAAGCAAAGTCTAGACTTGACCTAAGTAATTTCCCTGCTGGTTATGTTAGGGTATTGCAGCCACTACTGTACGTTCACCGTGTGTGTCTTTTGGTCCATAGCTATTCCTGACTAAACCCTCATCTGTGCTAGCATAATAAATTCCATCCATGATCACACCTACTAGAATAATAAAATATGTCTTGATTTGGGGCACAGAACAAACGTTGCCACAAAGAATCAGCTGACTGCCACCGTCGACAAGTAAAAAATATGAAAAGTTCTATGACCTATGTATGACCTTTAGATGAAAATTCTTATTGCAGACGTTTCCCCTCCTCTGATATGGGAGTGACTGGAGAGTCAGAGAGCTTCTGGAAAGCGAGCAGTATTTATGAAGGTAAGAAGTAAGAGGAACAGTAGTCCCACATCAAGCTGTGAAGCATATCTGCTCTGTGTCCATATGCTCGTCCGAGTGAGGATGTTTTTGTGTTTGCTTGCACTTGGACAGCCCAGACATCACATCGAGCTAAGGAGTGGCTTAGTGTGGTTTCAGAGCTCACACTGCGATTGAACAAAGGTACACAACCTGCCTGTAGTGTTAGATTTAGTACTAGCTAGCTTGTAGCAAAGTAGAATGCTATGTTTTAGTGAGGTTCCTTCTAGTTTCCCTGCTCTGTCAAGCAGAGATGTGAACTTCATTCACGCCATTTTCGAGGTCAACTTCAACCACTGTTTTGATGACTTGCAACTTCACTTGACGGAAAACAAATTGACTTAACACTTGGACTTGGAAGTTAAAGACTGGTGACGTGACTTAACTTGAGACAAGTTGACTAGAATGACTTTAAGCATAAAATATTAACGTTGTGGAAGGTTATCAATGTAATTAATAGTGACGGGATGGGACTATTTTTAATCAATAAGAAATTAAGAAATAAAAAAGCTTTTCTGAAGTTATTTATTTTTTGTTTGATTACCTTTATTTTACTGAATATCAATAATTATAATACAAATTGAATTAAAGCTGCAGTAGAAAAAATAACAAAAATGTCACTATATCCTGAGAGTAGTACAGGATCTGTAAAAAAAAATAATTTGGTTCCTCTGTGTTGCATATGTGAATAAAGACTCAGTGTGACTTAGTACTTTCTTCCTTTACTGGCACTGCAAAATACATTGTCATGACATTACTTTGTTTCTGTCCAGTGCTTTCTGTTAACACTACCGTACGATGTTTGTGCTTTGACTCCTGTACTGTTTACTCCTGACAGAAGCGCTCACTTCAGGCTATACTCCCTCTTGTGGCCTAAGGGAGCAACAACACTTTTTCTACTACAATGCCTGAGTGCCTTAAACTGGAGCACAGTGACTCTTTTAACAACATAAAACAATGCACATTTTTATAAACATTACCTGCTGTAATGCAATGAAATGAAATGAGATAAAAATGAAATTATATATATATATATATATATATATTTTTTTTTTTTGCATTAAACTATAGCTTATTCTATAAACTCCTTGTCCCTCAAAAATTGAATGGCCCAAGTTTATGACATTATCAGTCCATATGTTATACGTATGCATTACATTTAGAAAGGTAATAGCTAAATAGTAGTCAGAATTCCATCAAGTCCATGAAGATGCATTACTATTTCCAGTAAACCATATGACATGTATCTCCCATTAACACTATATTTTTGCAGCAGGTGTCATTGTGCATGATAACAGTCCACTGCCACTTCAGATCAAATGCATGGGTATCTGCATCTTTTCAGAGTAAGTTTCTATGACAATGGCAATAACCTCCTCTCTGAATAAATGTGGTTCAGTAGTTACAGCGGGTTACCCCATTCTCTTATACTTGCTCTTGTTGCTAATGTCTCTGTTTGTTTATCTTTTTTTTCCTTCCTTGGTTCTGCAGAGGAGTCCACTTTCGCCACCAGCAGATAGTCACATGGCAGCAGGAGGTTCCTATGGAGGACATGGAGCTCATACACTTGTTTTCTTTTTGTCACCACAAACACTTGTTCTTTCCAAAACGATCTCAACTTCCCTGGTCTTCCCATTCATTGAGATTTCGGACCGGCACCCTGCCTACAGGGCACAAATCTACACCATAGTCCTTCTTGTAATAGAGAGCTTTGCCACGTCTGCCCTCCTTACGTGCTTTCTCGGACGCCTGCCTGTAAGCATCAGTCATTCGAGCTTTCTACTTCTCAGCATAGTCTCTGTGGGATGAGCTTTGATCTTTTACTGTGAGGCCGAATATCAGGTCAACAGGGTGCCTTGGGTTTCGCCAAAATAAGAGAAAGTAAGGTGCATAGCCAGTGGCCTCGCTGCGTGTGCAATTATAAGTGTTTTCATCTCAGCCAGGTAAACTTTCCAGCCTGCCTTAGCTGTCTTTGGGAGGTTTCTGATCATTGCCAGCAGTGTCCTATTGAAACTTTCCACCTGGCCATTCCCCTATGGATGGTATGTTGTAGTCCTGGACCCCTTGACTTCACTGTATACCTCAAGCTTGGCAAACAGTTTGTTTTCAAGCTTCCAATCCAATCCAAATATTTTCTCTGCAGGGTTAGGCCTGAGGATATATTTATACCCTTCTTTACATTTCTCCAAATTTAAGAAATCAATAGCCACCAGCTTGAACGGATATGTGGTGATGATGTCGGTGGGGGGAGCTTTGGTTAGTTTGTTGGGACGTTTGTTTTTTAGAGAACTGCACGTGTGATGTAATGCTCAACATTCCTCTGCATGTAAGGCCAATAAAAGCGGTCACGGATGAGAGTCAGAACTCTCTCTACTCCAAGGTGACCCATCTTTTCATGCAGTTCTTTATAGACAAGCTTGTGGAACCTCTTGGGCAGGGGTAGCTCTTCCTCTACAGTAAACCCTCATTACCAATGCGCAGTTTCTGTTTTTTTTTTTTACTAGAGCAGCTATTTCTATACAATTCCAAGATGGCGGTGCATGCCCAACGCGAGGCTCAGCAGCTCTCCAGATTATGAAAATTAGTAGTTATCTGCCTTTTTGTTTCCAGTTTGTTCACTCAGAACAGTCTTGCATACATCTCCTACAGCCGACAGGAACTTTTGGACATTTGAGCTCCTAACCTGGGCACTTTTTTTGGTGATCTTCGGTTCATACCAGAGATCGTTAAGACATCGTAGGCTAACGACCTAGCTCCGGCGAACAGAAGTGCTCGCAGGCAGCGCCAAGATCGTAAACAAAGGCAGGGGAAGAGAGGAGGGCTAAGGGATGAGCTAAAGCTAACTCCTTCTCGGCTATCTCCACCCAGTATTTTCCTCGCCAATGTTCCACATTCATTGTGCTGGTGCCTTAACACTCAACTGCAAGTCATTAAGACTGATTTCCGCCTTGTTGCACTCACCCCTACCATCATGAAGTGCTTCAAGAGGCTGGTCCTGGTTTACCTCAAAACCAGCCTACCACCCACACTGTACTCGCTTCAATTCGCCTACCGCCAAAACTGGAGTACAAAAATCGAACAGAAAACTAACTCAGTCATTCACATTTACACACCAATGATACAGCATCGGGAGAAATTTGGGGTTCAGTTAAGGATACTTTGACACATGCAGCCAGAGGGGGATCTGGGGATTGAACCAACAACCTTCCAATTAGTGGATGACCCGCTGTACCTCTGAGCCACAAATGTCCATACATGGTTCCAACACCGTCATCAAGTTTGTGAACACCACGGTGATTGGCCTCATCAGTGACAATGATGAGTCAGACTACAGGGAGGAGGTCCAGCACCTGGCGACCTGGTGCGCCGAATTAACCTGGCCATCAACTAGAACAACTTTTTCCCATCAGCTGTCACCCTGCTAAACTCTGCACCGAGGTGACCCCACTTCCTCCTGAGTGACTGAACTCCTATTTAAGATCCCAACCCTTACACATATTTATACTGTCCTACTGTACATATCTATGTAATATATAGTATATAATGTCAACCAATTTAATTACCTGCGCTTACATCCACACTATATAATTACTGCTAATGCTGTTCCTACTGTACATATCTTAACTTAATTAACACACACTATATAATTTCACCATAATTATACTTTTTGCAATTGCATCTGCTGCTGCTGCTGCACAAGCTGTACATACACTGAACAAAATTAATGCAACACTTTTGTTTTTGCCCCCATTCATCATGAGCTGAACTCAAAGATCTAAGACTTTCTCTATGT